AGCTCCCTATCACCACCAGTTCCTTTTGAAATCCTGGTATGAGTCACTGAATGCTACTTAATTATTATTTCCTGCATTCCATATATATATATATATAAAACCAACTTTTCCCCTATTGATTACTTTTAATGTTGATTCGTGGCAGTTGCCATCCTCCTCCTCCTTCTAAGAAGCAGAATGACAAGGAAAGAGAAAATATATATATTCACCAGAGGGAGGTCAAAGAGTTCTTTTTCCGACACAGGCTCATTAGGGGAGGTGAACACAGCAAGGGTGGCATTGATCACCGTACCCTGTGCAGTCTTAAAGGTTAATGATTAGGGTAATTAGCTGACCTATAGGAACCAGATAGCATTCAGTTGAGAGCAGTGACAAGTGGCAGCAGTTACTTAAAAGAGAGCTGAAACACAGTCATGAATGTTGCCAGCTACTGTAAAAATGGCTCTCCCCAGAGCCTGGTTAAAAAGGCTCAGTGATATATACAGAAGTTGCTTTCCCTTGCTGCAATAAATTTTGTCCGATCCATTTTGCTCGTCGCTCTCGTCTTTATGTCTCATTCTATCAGTATTGCTGGCAGAAGGTAGGCTAGCGAACTTCAGTCTCCTGTAGATGTTGCTGAACTACAACTCCCGTCATCCGTGACCATCATCCCTCTTCTTTTTTCTGGGCTTTGTGCATGTGAGAATAGCCCCCCTAGCTATCTGCCAGTCTGTGTGCCTGTTCCTAGGATCACAGGCTTTATACTGAGACAGGACCTTGTCTACTCTGTCTTGCAGTGACTTTCCGCATACCCTCCAACATTTCTCGGCTGAAAATAGGGACATCCTTTTCAGTACTTTTTTTAGGGGGCACTCAAGGGTACTCAGGACTGGCACCTTTTATATACATATATAAAATATGACACTTACTGTAACAAAAGGTAAAAGACCCCTCAATGGTTAAGTCCAGTCAAAGGCGACTATGGGGTTGTGGTACTCATCTTGCTTTTAGGCCAAGGGAGCCGGCATTTGTCCACAGACAGCTTTCCGGGTCATGTGGCCAGCATGACTAAACAGCTTTTGGTGCAACGGGACACTGTGACAGAAGCCAGAGCACACGGAAACACCGTTTACCTTCCCTCCTATTTCTCTACTTGCACTTTGACATGCTTTTGAACTGCTAGGTTGGCAGGAGCTGGGACAGAGCAATGGGAGCTCACCCCGTTGTGGGGATTCGAACCGCTGACCTTCCGATCAGCAAGCCTAAGACGCTCAGTGGTTTAGACCACAGCACCACCCATGTCTTTACCTTATCTTGCTGTAGCAACTTCATGGTGAGTACCATCACCTGTTTTTTTATTTAAAAAGCACTGGTCCTATTCCATAATTATAATAATAATTTTACTATTTATACCCCACCCATTTGACTGGGTTACCCCGCCACTCTGGGTGGCTTCCAACACATATGAAAATATAATGAAACTATACAGGGCTGCCTTCACATGTCTTATAAAGGTTATGCAGTTACTTATTTCCTTGGCTTGGGGGTCTCTGAAAATAAGCACTGCGCTTAACTCCATACTCTCCAATATTTCTCCGATGGAAATAGGAATATCCTAAGGAAAAGCGGGACATTCCAGGATCAAATCAGAAACTGGGACAGCTTCTGTAGATCCAGGACTGTCCCTGGAAAATAGAGACACTTGGAGGGTCTTTCTTCAGGATTTCAGGCAGGGTTCTCTCACAGCGCTACCTGGACATGCTGAGGATTGGGGCCTTCAGCATGGAAACAGATGCTCTCCCCCGGAAGAGATGGCACTCACCTTTCTATACAATCTCCCTTGGCCATCTCCTGATGCCATGGGGGACAAGGCTGTTGCAGCTTCTCTTTCCCTCTCGCTCTCTTCCATCAACTGCACTCGCACTCCAAGTATCCTGTCTGCCCTCCCAGGGGACTAGGACACACAACAGCACCAAGGAGGGAACAAAAGCATACAAACTTTCTCTGGATTGCAACCTGGCAGTTTTTCTAGGCTGAGAATTAGCAACTGGTCACCTACTGAGCTCCATTACTGAGCAGGGATTTGAGTTTGCTACTATTTGCCTTAGTAAGCAAAAACCAGGAGATATCTGATTTCTAGCTCCTGATTTGCTCCTGCAGGTTTCTGCCAATGATATGAAGAAGGATTCCAATCAAAAGCAGTATGTGATTGTTGTGGTCAAGTGTCCTCAGTTCACATTGGAGAAGATGGTTCTGGTCTCCTTCCACAGTGGATATCTCTTCATCCAGACAGAGAAAACCATCTACACACCTGGGTCCAAAGGTAAAGCCTTCTGCTAGTCCCTCCCATAACATTATCTGGAAATGCAGGAGGGGTCTGGAGTGGATAACCTACTTGCGATCTGCAGACTGAGCATGGCCCACATGGAGGCAGAAAACTGCTGACTCCTGAGCAGTGCAAATCCACCTACATACCCTTCCCCAGAATAGTAACCGATTCCTCATTCTGACTTCTGTTCCTGCTGGGAAAGGCTGCCCTATTTCATTACTCTTCTCAGTCGTGCAGTTTTTACAGATCTGCTGACTATCTCGGAATAAACAGAAACTCCTTAATTCCACATCGAGTTAAGCAGATTATTTTCCCACACAATATCTGCTGCCACAGGAGGGGGAAGAAGAAGAAGAGGAAGAGAAAGCTCCCCTCCCCCGTCTGTTCAGATTTTTATTTCAGTGTACTAAATCTGGCATGGCTTTTCTTTCTTTTTCAACAGCTGCGCTAGGTCCCCCCTGCCCCATCCCTCCTTCCTTCTTCCCTGTCTTCAAGTACTGAAAGCAATAAAGCTTGAGTCTAGCTTCAAATGCCATCAGTCATTTTGCTAGTAAAGGAAAGGTGCCTAATGAATCTTTTTCCCTGTTTGATGCTGGGACGGTTTCTGTTTTCTGGATTTAAATGCTGCTCAAGGGAGGGGCGAGCGTGTTCCTTGATACCTCAGGCCAGATGTGTTTTGGCATACACAGAACCGTACATCATTCACAGGAAATAGATTTGTACAGCAGAAAGGAAAGCAAAAAGGGGTTGCTTCAGGTCTGCTCCTGGGCCTTCCAGGGAATGTTGTAATTCAATCGCGATCATTTTGGTGGAAACTTGCCTTTTAACATTAAAACTGCCTCATAAAGTAGTGGGAGAGATTAAATACTAATGCTTAATTGGAAAGGGAATAGCCCAAAGGCACAGAAGTGTGCCTGCACACCCCGTCTTTTAACAAGCTAATTAATAATCACAGCAAACATTTAATGAACAGATGAACCATATTGGCAGTTTAGTTAGAAATCAATCTAACTGCGGGCTGAAAGAAACCAAGGCCGAACCGGACGTTATGTGAGGAAAACAAAGTTTGTGGCTGTCGCTGAACTATGTCTCTTCCTCACATCACCCAAGTATCGTTCACATATTACACTGAGCACAGATGCTAGCTACATCTACACATGTGAGAAAGTGTTTGTGTGAAAGAGTGCGCACTTGTTGATTTGTTCAGCTCAATTGCTATGTGAATAACAAGTGTGCAGCTCAGCTGCTAGACTTGTTCACATGTTATGCTGTCTCAAATCATGTCGAAGTGTTTGCGTACAGTTGCTGATTTGTGCAGCTCAGCTATTGCCTATGCAAGTATACATGATGTACCCTCATTGAACGTGACATGTGAAAAACTGTATGGGTGTGCGACTCAACTGTCTGTGTACACAGGTACACAGATTGCATATTCATCCGAGATAATGCACGAACACTGACCCAACACTCACCCCCCAATTGTGTAATAATAATAATAATAATAATAATAATAATAATAATAATTTATTATTTATACCCCGCCCATCTGGCTGGGCTTCCCCAGCCACTCTGGGCGGTCTCCCCCAAAAAAAATTTAAAATACAGTACTACATCAAACATTAAAAGGCTCCCTAAACAGGGCCGCATTCAGATGTCTTCTAAAAGTCTGGTAGTTGTTGTTCTCTTTGACATCTGGTGGGAGGGCATTCCACAGGGAGGGCGCCACTACTGAGAAGGCCCTCTGCCTGGTTCCCTGTAACTTGGCTTCTCGCAGTGAGGGAACCGCCAGAAGGCCCTCGGTGCTGGACCTCAGTGTCCGGGTAGAACGATAGGGGTGGAGACGCTCCTTCAGATATACTGGACCAAGGCCGTTTAGGGCTTTAAAGGTCATTATCAACACTTTGAATTGTGCTCGGAAACGTATTGGGAGCCAAAGTAGGTCTTTCAAGACCGGTGTTATATGGTCTCGGTGGCCGCTCCCAGTCACCAGTCTAGCTGCCACATTCTGGATTAGTTGTAGTTTCCGGGTCACCTTCAAAGGTAGCCCCACGTAGAGCGCATTGTAGTAGTCCAAGTGGGAGATAACCAGAGCATGCACCACTCTGGCGAGGCAGTCCGCAGGCAGATAGGTTCTCAGCCTACGTACCAGATGGAGCTGGTAAACAGCTGCCCTGGATACAAATTTGACCTGTGCCTCCATGGTCAGCTGTGAGTCCAAAATGACTCCCAGGCTGCACACCTGGTTCTTCAGGGGCACAGTTAGCCCATTCAGGACCAGGGAATCCTCCACACCTACCCACCTCCTGTCCCCCCAAAACAGTACTTTTGTCTTGTCAGGATTCAACCTCAATCTGTTAGCCACCATCCATCCTCCTATTTATCTACTTGCACTTTGACGTGCTTTCAAACTGCTAGGTTGGCAGGAGCAGGGACCAAGCAACGGGAGCTCACCCCGCCGTGGGCATTTGAACCGCCGACCTTCTGATCAATAAATTTAATAAATAATAAATAATAATTAGGGTAGTCTTTCATTCTATAGTTTCCAACTAGCCACCCTCAAGTGTTAAAGGTGGTTTAATCAATGCTTCTTAGCAGTCTGCTATTTTTGGTGTGGAAGAATGTCCTTGTGTTATGTTCAGAGTGACTGCAATACACAGAAGGCCCTGTCCTCATCCAAATTTGTTTCAGGACCACCAAGGGAAGCTCTTTGTCTTGTGGAAGAATCATCATGTCAATGAGACATAGGGACGGATGATGTATTAACAAAGCCTGGACTGGGGTATGTCTGGATCCCATGCTGCTCAGGTAATGTCTGCAGGAAATTAGGTCATCTTTCTCATCTGACCACAGGTGGTTCCATCCCATAGACTCAAGTGCTTGGAAGCAGATCCTCTGTTCATCTGGTAATGGATGAACCAGGAGATAGCAAATGAGTTTAACATGCTGACGCTCCTTGGTGCTGGTGTCTGCATTTGTGGCAGCCGGCAACTTGACAGATTTGCCTTTGTGGACATCGTTGGTATCCCTAAGGAGGGAAGCAAGTGAATACACATCAAGTTGAGTAAGGATGTCTCTGAACTGGACACGGCATGGTGTCATCCTTTCTGGTCAGATAATTTATATCTGACTGGCTGGCAAAATAGGATTGTAATCTGGTTCCCTGCAAGAAAAGTGAGCTATTGGAAAAGTTGTTCAGAGTTCAAAAATCATATGTGACATGGCATGTATTGTCTTACAGATTCCAAACAGAAAACCCACTGTTCATCAAAACCTTGGGAGCAGTAAACTTATTATTCATTTGTTCTGCAGGAGTGATGAGACTAATGAACTCCACCTCTTGAGAGTTATTCGTTTTAGCCTCAGTACTTAGAAATAGATCTACTGTTTTATCTCAAATATGAAATAATAACTTGGGACCAGGTTACCTGAAATACTGCCTGTCCCTGTATAGACCTGCAAGGTCACTTAGATAGCTGGGAGAATTCTACTTGTGCCACCCCACCCTAAAGAACATCACAGGACAGTGACCCCAAAATGGGAATTTTCTGCTGTTGCACCCATTTTGTGGAATGTCCATCCCTCTTCCATGAAGGTAGCATCCACCATCCATTGCTTTAGATGTATTGTAAAGACTTTTATTTTTGCCCAAGCTTTTCTGACCCATAAGACTGGAACCTGATTCATGTGTGTATGCATCCAATGAATATGTTTTTATTTTCTTTTGTGTGTTTATATTGTTTTTAGGCTGTATTTTTGTTTTAATGGATACTGTTTTAATATTGCAAATGGTATACACCCCTTAGGGTTTTTTATTTTTAATTATTAAACAGTTTAGAGATGCTACTTTTAAATAAAATAAATACATCTGTAAATTTATGACAGCAATATTTTTTTGCAAAGGTGTGAATGTCATATTTTGCAACTATGAAATCAATAAGAAATGAACAAGTGGTGGTTCTGAAATTTCAGGTACCTTTTTCATGTTGGCCATTGCCCATGAGATAATTTTCTCTTTTTCAGCTGATGGCCTTTGATGGAGAAACGCACTTTCTGTGTGAAAGGGAGCAGGGGCCAGGTGATGTGTGTACCATAATACCTTCTTGACAGAATAGCAATTTCCCCTTGAAACAATCAATAGATACCTATAATGTTCCACACTATAATTGTTTTAGTTGTTTTTTCCTCACTCAGACCAGTGGGTCTTTGAATCTTCTAACACTGTTGCTGAACTGTCAACAAAGCCATGATTGAGGGCATAGCTCAACTCCCATATAATGCTGGATCAAGAATTCTCAAAGTTTTTCCGTTGTCTGGCCATAAAAAGGTTGATGCACCTCCACATACAAACACAAGCACACACACACCATTTTATTGGCTTTCGGTTATTATTTTGAGTGACTCTTGCTGGCTTTGGGGACTTTACTTTGTTCCGTGGAGCCCATTCTTCTTAAATGCATCAATCTGCAATCCGTCAACTTTCTCAGTACAGGAGGCAACCATTTTGTGTGGGGGTTCTGTTCCTGGTCCCTGTGCGCGTCGGCAGAGTGTGTATAAGCACACCCCACCCCCTTACGCTCCGCCCTACCCCTGTTATGCCGACCCCACTCCCCTTACACCGCATTCTGCACCCCATTCCACCCCCATTCTAACTTCTTCCAGGTCCAAAAGGAGCCACACATCGGCAATTGCACATCAATTGGATGCACCTAAAATGGCCGCCTGCATGCTAATATATATTTATAGCTTAGCTTTCCACCATGTTGTTGAAGGCAGTGAACAGGGTGCCCCTCACAACAGCCCTGTGAGTTTAGGTCAGGTTGAAAGAGAATTATTAGCCCAGCGTAACCGAATGAGTTTCATGGCTAGGAAGGGATTTGAACCTATTTCTAGTTTTCTAGACGTGCTGTCAATTCATGCCATCTTAGACACCTTTTTTTGCTATTTTCTTTTCTGATATTGACTCTTACAGAAGCTATTTTAAACTGTTCCATGCTAGGAAGCTGAAAGGCGTATCAAAGGCATCACAATTCAGAGTTGCAATTTGCATATGCACTGACAAGAGTGGAAAGCTTTTGGGTGATTAATAAAACTATTTTTTTTATTACTATTCACAAACTAAAACCACACACATGCCTACCCTTAAGTGAGCTGTAGTGTGGAAGAAATATTGTCTCTTGGCATGAAGGTGACTGAGCTGAAAAATAAAAATATTGTTGAGATGGTACAATCTGGGCAAAGGAATCTATTAGTAGTGGGTTGGTTCTTTATTTTAAGGAAACCCTGTGCCGGTTAGGTTGTTGTAATATACAGTAACTGACTCAGGCCCTGTGTGCATGAAAGGGTTAACCTGAGCCCTGAGCTCAAGTTACCAGAGTGGGTGTGCCTTGGCATGCTTGTAGCAGCATTGCTTGATGCAGCCCTGGTCCTTCGTTGTGTATTGTTTTTACACACAAGTAGAATGCCTGATGTCAGCTATCCTAGAGTAATGACCAGGTTGAGACAGTGTCCATGCTTCAAATTTTACCTTAGCTGCTAACTCAATGGGTGACCCCAGGCAATTACATCTTCTATAAATATGGATTGTTAATTCAGGTTATTTCATTTATATATCCCTTTCTGATTAATATTGTCCTACAAAGAGGCTCACATGAAAATAAGACAATCACTGTAAGGATGGCTAATATTGAGGGCTTTGAAAAACAACAGAAGGCTTTAGATGCTACAATATTTGTTGCTGCTCTTATTTCTAGCCTTGTTACTTAAATTGAGTAAGTCACTTATTTGACACCTAATAAATGCCCATTTTCAGGGTTTTTCTTTAGAAAGTGCTTAAGTGTTTAAAGAGAAATTCACCGGAGAAAAGTAGCAAACAAAAAACTGTTACTGAAACACACCTTATGAATTCTTAGGAAAAAAGTTCACCTACTAATCAGAGTCATTAAGATAAATACCTGCAGTTACTTCCAGCAAAGGCAAACATAAATCAAAATTACATCTCCATAAAAGCCAAAAGTTATCTTCAAGCTTCATTGTTTCTAAAACTCTCATCAGAATCTTTCCCTATTTTCAACATGCTAAATGAAGTCCCTCTAAGAGTGACTTCAGTTTTTACTAAAGCGAGAGAGGAAGAAGTTCAAAAAGCCCAGACAACGGAAGCAAGAGTCTTTACCCTTCCACAAAAATAATCCCGCTGTACTCAGTAACATCTAAAACTGCGCCAAATGTGCCTTGTGACTCACATGACAAAATTAGTAAACTAAAATTTCGTTCTCCCTGGTAAGGAAAGCCCAGCCACAAATACAGTGTATAATTGAGCTAAGCCTCTAGTTTTTTTAAAAAAGAGGACACAATGCTAATTGAATACTGATCAGGAAAAAGGAAATATGTTTGTTTCATAGTAAAATTACAATCTGAGGAATTTTTTATTTATTTATTTTTATTTGCTTTCAATCCATTCTTCATATGACAAGCTGACATTTTATGCTACCATGCATATGCACATTAAGCAGTTGGGGAAGGAGAGGACAGGGGGTGAAGAAAGAGGTGTGAGTGGTGGGGGTGGGGCCCTTTTCACATCCTCTGGACCCCCTGGGAAACTCAGAAAGCCTGCTGTACCTGGAACAGGGTGTGGAGAGTGCAGATGAATGGGACATAGCTATGGGCATGTCTGCCCATAAAAAGCAAGACTAGAGTGAGAGACTAGGGTGATGTCCATTGTTTCCAGGAACTCTTCTCGTTGTGAGACTTTTGTGGGTCAGCTGAGAGTTTGTTGGATGAGATCTCAGAGGCTGAGAGGGAGGGTGTGTTAGAAGGAAATGAATTTATATTGCTTTATATGTATTAGTAAAGGTAAAGGGACCCCTGACCATTAGGTCCAGTCGTGACCGACTCTGGGGTTGTGGCACTCATCTCGCTTTATTGGCCGAGGGAGCCGGCATACAGCTTCCAGGTCATGCGGCCAAAACAAACAAGATGAACTTTAACAGGGAGAAATGTAAAGTATTGCACTTGGGCAAAAAAAATGAGAGGCACAAATACAAGATGGGTGACACCTGGCTTGAGAGCAGTACATGTGAAAAGGATCTAGGAGTCTTGGTTGACCACAAACTTGACATGAGCCAACAGTGTGACGCAGCAGCTAAAAAAGCCAATGCAATTCTGGGCTGCATCAATAGGAGTATAGCATCTAGATCAAGGGAAGTAATAGTGCCACTGTATTCTGCTCTGGTCAGACCTCACCTGGAGTACTGTGTCCAGTTCTGGGCACCACAGTTCAAGAAGGACACTGACAAACTGGAACATGTCCAGAGGAGGGCAACCAAAATGGTCAAAGGCCTGGAAACAATGCCTTATGAGGAACGGCTAAGGGAGCTGGGCATGTTTAGCCTGGAGAAGAGGAGGAACATGATAGCCATGTTCAAATATATAAAAGGATGTCATATAGAGGAGGGAGAAAGGCTGTTTTCTGCTGCTCCAGAGAAGCGGACACGGAGCAATGGATCCAAACTATAAGAAAGAAGATTCCACCTAAACATTAGGAAGAACTTCCTGACAGTAAGAGCTGTTCGACAGTGGGATTTGCTGCCAAGGAGTGTGGTGGAGTCTCCTTCTTTGGAGGTCTTTAAGCAGAGGCTTGACAACCATATGTCAGGAGTGCTCTGATGGTGTTTCCTGCTTGGCAGGGGGTTGGACTCGATGGCCCTTGTGGTCTATTCCAACTCTATGATTCTATGATTCTATGACTAAGCCATTTCTGGCAAACCAGAGCAGTGCACGGAAATGCCGTTTACCTTCCGGAGGATGAGGAAGAGTTTGTGGGATTTCCCGCCTCCGAAGAGGAGGAAGGGGAAGATCCGAAGGGGAGGAATCCGACTGGGAAGAGTGGGAAGCGGAAAGAGACAACAGCAGGTGGAGAGCAGTGTTGGAATCATCTGAGGAGGAGGATAGCTCCTTCAGGGGGTTCCCCACTTCACCGTCCCAGGAACGGACGGGAGGGGAGGGGGGCCCTGGGAGGGAGGTGGATGCCAGGGAACTGCCATCAGAGACCAGAGGAGAGGGAGGTCGCCCCAATGATGCAGGGGAGGGGACTAGCAAGGAGAGAGAGAGAGCTTCCGCTGGGGAAGGCAATCAAGGAGACACCAGGAAGAAAGGGGAGGCTGAGAGCACTTCGGAGGGAGGGCTCCGAGACTCTTCTAGTGAGATCAGTGGGGAGAGCACCGGACCCCCGCTTTGCACGCCCACACTGCGCAGAAGGCTTCCGCGCAGAGAATCTAGGCGGAGACTGGGCGTCAAGGAATTTTTATGTTGGAAGAAGTTTAGAAAACGCCCACTGACGGATTCTGCCAGCGACTGAAGCAGCCGCGCCTAAGGGCTGCTCAGCCAGGGAAAGGCGCAACCACCCCAAGCAGTTTGGAGCAGTTGGTGGTTTACACACAAGCAACCCCAATTCCCATTACATTAATGTAACCTTTTTATATGTAACTACGTATTTATGTATTTTTTTGGTTTAAGTTGTGTCTTCAGATGTGTTCTTTCAGGAAAGGATTTCTACTGCTTTTGAATGCAAACTCTGCCCTTCTTCCCCAAGTTAAACATCTCTTGAATAAGATCTGTCAGTTGGCTTGTATAGCGTTTGAGACCGGAAGAAAAACAAAGGGGACCATAGGAATAACTAACACAAATACCAAAATGTTTTCATTTTTTGAAAACCTGACAATAATAATAATAATAATAATAATAATAATAATAATAATAATAATATTTATTATTTATATGTTGGCTGGCCAGTCTGGGTGGCTTCCAACTCGCAGAAAGATATCCCCAGCTGTCAAAAGGGAAACAAATACCATCACAGGTAGAATGAAATAACTATGGATATACCCATTATGGGAAGCTCTCAGGATTCAACTCTTATAAAACTCACAATATATTTAAAGAAGAGAGTCATTGGTGGCAGCCGAGAAACCGAATGTTGTGTGGAAATTTAACAAAAATGTTAACTCCCCACACAACAAGGTGGAGAATTCTAATATATTATTGAGAGCCCATTGCTTTAAATCTCCTCAAGTTACAATCATAAAGGAATTCACTTGCCCCAGTGTGCTCCTTTCTCAGTCAGTGCTGAATATTTCTTTATCTTCCCGATTCCTAGATGAAGCCTTCAGAAACAACAGTAAATGAAGCATGAAGGCTCCAGGACCCAAAGAGAATTACGTGAACAAAGGAGAAGTCGAAGAAAGGATAAAAGAAGCAACAGCAGTGATATAATAACTACAGAGCACACTTGCCACAGTTTCCTCCCCCCGCCCCGCCCCCCCCCATTTACTTTCTTTCGTTCTAAGACATTCATGGCTCTGTCAACAACAAATACATGCTCACATTTGTGTGTTGACTTAACAGAAGGATCGATAGCTAATATTGGCTCCAGGCTCCCTTAACAAATTTGATGAACAATACTGTATATAATTTAGCCTTAGAATCAATCAAAGTTCCAGCCTTGAAGGAAAACATAGGGGAGGAGAAGAATAAAAAAGCAACTTAAAACCTCAAGGTGATAGTCAAAGTGGGGGGGGGGGGTGAAGGGGGTGAATGGCCATTGTCCCTAATTGGTGGTTTTGATGCTCAGCTTTCCCATACCCTCCAAGTGTCCCTGTTTTCCAGGGACAGTCCTGGAATTACGAAAGGCATCCTGGGTTCTGAATTGATCCCAGGATGTCCCAATTTTCCCCATCAGGGCCGCTGCCAAGCTCAGGGAGGAGGATGAGTTGGCGCTTGTTCTGAGTGAGTGTGGTAGTGGCAGTGGCGGCTTTGAGGAAGCTCCCTATTGCTTCTCCATAACCACTGCTGTCAGCCTCCTCCCTTGGGCAGCTCAGAGTGGCTACTGGAGAGCAGGGGATGAGGAGCAGAGGCTGCCACTGCAGAGGCCCAGCATGATGTGCCAGCTCTGAGGTGCAGACAGACATCTGTGTCTAATTTTGAAGGAGCGTCTTCACCCCATTGTTCAGCCCAGACACTGAGGACCAGCTCCGAAGGCCTTGTCGCGGTTCCTTCACTGCGAGAAATGAGATTACAGGGAACCAGGCAGAGGGCCTTCTTGGTAGTGGCACCTGCCCTTTGGAATGCTCTCCCATCAGATGTCAAGGAAATAAACAACTATCTGACTTTTAGAAGACATCTGAAGGCAGCCCTGTTCAGGGAAGTTTTTAATGTTTGATGTTTTATTGTGGTTTTAATATTCTGTTGGGAGCTGCCCGGAGTGGCTGGGGAAATAATTTATAAATACATTATTATTATTATTATTATTATTATTATTATTATTATTATTATTATTATTACCCCTTTCTAAAATTTATTTATTGTTGTGTGCTTTTCTTTTTGCAAATCTACCAAAGAATCAAACCAAATCAGGATTTGTGCGTGCTGCTAACCGTTGGTGTAACTGTGGTAGAAATGCTTTCCAGGAAAGATAGGCACACATTTAGATTGTGTTCTACAATCGCTGCCCTCAGAGGGTGGGTGCACCATAATATACCAAGTAGTAAGTGAGAATCATCATCACGTAAATGCTAGTAAACCGGGTCTCTGACTGGCACGGGCTATATGATGACCAAAATCACCCTGAGGTGTACACAGCAAGGGATGAGAATTTTTTTCAGGAAAAATGCATGGCAAAAAGGCCTTCTGTGGGCCAAACTCTGCATTCAGTACCAGGTCCAGATGGTTTATCCTCCATGGGTTGAACTGCCAGAGACCCTAGCCAATGGGATGTACTGTATAGTACACCCCATTCACTGCAGGATCAAATGCAGTAGTCAGACCCTGAACATGCTGTTGGATATTCTCTCCCTGTGTGAGAGAGAATCATTTGTTCCAGAAACAGAGAAGAAGTTTCAAGAAGCAGCAGAAGGCCGAGATTGTTTTCTCAATGCAAGGACGTTTTCTGTGGGAACTGTTCTTTGGACATGCACAGTGTGACAGGAAGTACTGATAACAAAGGTTCTGTGTAAATTCTTGTGACTTGTTGTGAGTCTCTTGCATGTGCCTTGCAGTGGGAGAAGCAGAGAAAGAGTCTTGGACTCTTGTTGGACTCTAAGCATGCCTTGACTATGACAGTGCTGAATGTCTGTACAGTGATACCTTGGGTTACAGATGCTTCCGGTTACAGACTCCGCTAACCCAGAAATAGTACCTTGGATTAAGAACTTTGCTTCAGGATGAGAACAGAAATCACGTGGTGGCGGCATGGCGGCAGTGGGAGGCCCCATTAGCTAAAGTGGTACCTCAGGTTAAGAACAGTTTCAGGTTAAGAACGGACCTCCAGAAAGAATTAAGTTCTTAACCCGAGGTACCACTGTATTTATTTGCTACCAATATGCTTTCATGCCTGTCAAGTAAACTTCCACACTTGACTGAATCTTTATGGCATCCATGAGTGTTAATTATTATTATTATTATTATTATTATTATTATTATTATTATTTATTTATTTATTTATTTGTACCCCACCCATCTGGCTGGGTTTCCCTAGCCACTCTGGGTGGATTCCAACAAAGATTAAAAATACAGTAAAATGTCACACATTAAAAACTTCCCTGAACAGGGCCTACTGTGTGTACCTTCAACCCTGAAGAGGCTTCCAAGGATGGAGCTGCACTGAAATGTAACTCTGCTGAGTATGGATACTGTCACACACACACACACACACACACACACACACAGCGAAAATGATGCCGGACCCAGTCCTTCAAAATCATCCAACAGAGGTTGGTGGATTGATCCAACACATGCAACATGTATTGTGAAATGACAGTCCACTGTACATGGAAGACAGATAGTATATTCAGCAAAGCATGCTGCGGGCTTTTCACTAGTGTCAGACATGGGAGACGCCAGGGCAGGGAACAGCCCTGGATTTACTGTAATGTTCCCACCATAAAGGGGATTGAAGGTGAGGTGGGGGTCTAGACTGATGTCAATTACATTATTTAGCAATAAAGGGGGGTTGGAGCAGCTGTTTGCAAGGGAGGCCTGGATTGGCTTTAAGACCCTCCCCTCCATGCTGATGGAGGTGCCCCTCAAGACAAGCTGCAGCAATGAAGAGGGATTTTTGTCAGGCCACAGACAGGGGAATGGAGGGTTAAACACTCCCCCCCTACACCACAGCTGCAGTCCAGATGCCCTCCTGCCTTAAAGGGAATTACCATTTAAAGCCACACTTCAACTGAAGTGCTAAAATGCATGTAATGGAATGTGTACATTGGTTCTAAGAGTGATGGAGGGGGCATTATGGGTGGTTACATCTATCCATTTTGGTTTCTTCCAGTTTTGAATGTTTCCCCTCTTAAATTTAGTTCTCAGCATCGCTGCATCAGTTTGCGAATTTTCCTTTCGAAAAAACATCGTGAAAATTCGTCAGCACCCTGATGTAAATTTCTGCATTTCTGTGTGCAATATTCCCAGGTACGCACATTTTTGCAAAGCGATTTCCCCGAATGCAATGCATCTGGGTGTCCTTTCACCCAGTATATGCTTTTCTAGGCACACTTTGCCCTGGTGCATGCATTTTTGTAAACATTGTTTGGGTGCAGAACTCCATCACAAAATTGGGAGGAGGCAAAATTTCAAAGGTTGGCTGTGTTTCTGCACATTGTTTCAGAAAATCTGCAATAGGTCAGTGCCTTTAAGTGAAAACTAAGCTGAATTTCTTCCCAATCTCTAGTGGGCAATGGGGAAGGTGAGAGCTGTTTCCTAGTTCTGCTGGATCTCTCAGCGGCGTTTGATACCATCAACCATAATATCCTTCTGGACCGTCTTGAGGGGCTGGGAGCTGGGGGCACTGTCATACAGTGGTTCCGCTCCTTCCTCCTGGGCCGTGTTCAGAAAGTGGTGGTGGGGGATGAGTGTTCAGACCCCTGGGCTCTCACTTGTGGGGTGCCTCAGGGTTCTGTCCTCTCCCCCATGCTTTTCAACATTTACATGCAGCCACTGGGAGAGATCATCAGGAGGTTTGGGCTGGGTGTTCATCAGTATGTGGATGATACCCAGCTCTACCTCTCTTATAAGTCAGAACCAGTGAAGGCGGTGAAGGTCCTGTGTGAGTGTCTGGAGGCGGTTGGAGGATGGATGGCTGCTAACAGATTGAGGTTGAATCCTGACAAGACAGAAGTACTGTTTTTGGGGGACAGGAGGCGGGCAGGTGTGGAGGATTCCCTGGTCCTGAATGGGGTAACTGTGCCCCTGAAGGACCAGGTGCGCAGCCTGGGAGTCATTTTGGACTCACAGCTGTCCATGGAGGCACAGGTCAAATCTGTATCCAGGGCAGCTGTTTACCAGCTCCATCTGGTACGTAGGCTGAGACCCTATCTGCCTGCGGACTGCCTTGCCAGAGTGGTGCATGCTCTGGTTATCTCCCGCTTGGACTACTGCAATGCGCTCTACGTGGGGCTACCTTTGAAGGTAACCTGGAAACTACAACTAATCCAGAATGCGGCAGCTAGACTGGTGACTGGGAGCGGCCGCCGAGACCATATAACACCAGTCTTGAAAGACCTACATTGGCTCCCAGTACGTTTCCGAGCACAATTCAAAGTGTTGGCGCTGACCTTTAAAGCCCTAAACGGCCTCGGTCCAGTATATCTGAAGGAGCGTCTCCTCCCCCATCATTCTGCTCGGACACTGAGGTCCAGTTCCGAGGGCCTTCTGGCGGTTCCCTCACTGCGAGAGGCTAAGTTACAGGGAACCAGGCAGAGGGCCTTCTCGGTAGTGGCGCCCGCCCTGTGGAACGCCCTCCCATCAGATGTCAAAGCGATAAACAACTACCTGACATTCAGAAGACATCTGAAGGCAGCACTGTTCAGGGAAGTTTTTAATATGTGACATTTTTGTGTATTTTTCATCTTTGTTGGAAGCCGCCCAGAGTGGCTGGGGAAACCCAGCCAGATGGGCGGGGTACAAATAATAATAAAAATAAATAAGTTATAGCAAAGACACCAGAATACAGGACCTGCCGCTTGCTGGCCTACCAAGCTAGTTTAGTATAATAATTGTTTATCTCGCATCTATTTACACAGGGAAAGAAAAACTTTTTAAAAGTTTCCTTTTGAAGTGTTGAGTTTAATTGTGTGTCTAGTCAAATGGCAATTATATGCAGCTACCTGATTAAACGCTCCAAGTGCTCACTCACATAATGATTAAACGTGTCTTGTGATGATAGCTATATCATGTCAGGTTTAAAAATGTATGATTATCACCTGCTGATTGTAAAAGCGAAAGTCTGTAATGGGATTAATTTTAATGGCAGCACTTATTATAATCGGGGGAGCGATCATATATTGCAGCGATTATTTTGTTGTGACTTACAACAGGTAGTATTTTCAGCTTTTGATTTACCTGTCAGCAGAAAGAGAACATAAAGGAGAATATGCAGAGTGCTTCAAAAAAAGAACATTAAAACCAAGCCAGCATATTCTCAAATGCAGATTAGGCAAATAAACACACAGAGAGAGACACAAATGGTTTTGGAGGCAGTTCAGCTGAGGAAAGGAATTGGTTTCAAAAATCACTCACCACCTATTCTATTACAACCAAGTTGTAAAGAGGAAATAACACAGCTGAATTCAGACAGCAGAAATAAATCTCATAACAAGCAACCATAATACAAAAATATGTTAACGCTGCAAGACAAAGTTAAATTTGTAATTCTCCCCTGTCTCAACCTGGCTAAGATGCAGAACACAGAATGGCCCCAACCCATGGAAAGGCAGTTATCCTTGTATCTCATGAAATCTGGAAGAAAAGTTGCCGTAAACTCAAGGATGCAATCCTGAACTTTAGAAGGGGCTCATTTTCACTGGTCTTAACAGGACATCCTTTTGAGTAAACATGTATGGTATTGCACTTCAAATCCTATTAATTGAGGCTGCAATTCTATCCCAATTTACCTGGGTGTAAGCCCCATTTAACTCAATGAGGCTTACAATTGAATAGACATGTATAGGATTGCAATGTTCAATAATAGTCTTTGAACTGGGACCAAACCACAGGAAAGATGAAT